AGTTATTACTAAATTAAAAAACACTTTGTAAAAGGATGATATTGAATAAATTTTCATTCAAATAATTTTACTTTTCTCATCTTTCTTATTGTCTTTATTTTCTTCATCTTTCTCATTATCACTTAAACTATTCTTCAATAATGGAAAAGTAAAAATTAACTAAAATATATGGTACAAAATACTTAAAAATGAAAATAATAAAATCAAAACTTAGGAAATCAAACTAATGAAGATGCCTTTGTTGCTGTAAATGTCATGAAGTGTGTGAGAATTTGGAAATGATTCATATTTATTAGTAATTTTGTGCACATGAGGACATATCTATATGCTTATTACTAAAAATTTCTATCTAAAAGATGGTACAATATATAGATAGAAAATAAATACAGTAAATGAAACAAAAAGCATAAAAGGTAACCTTGTTTCTTTAAGCCTCCCGTAGTTATACATCCTTCCTTTCAAGTTTTTGAGCCTTCTGTAAAAGCTTGTTTCATGCTCTGCCATTTCTTCCTCCCTTGGTCTTCCTCTTAACCAAAACAAAGCTTGCTTCTTGTTCTGCCATTTCATCTCTCTCTCTCTCCCTCTCTCTTTTCTAATATCAATCTCCTTGATCTCCTTGCTACCCCATTTCTAATATATATAGTAGCCTGTTGCCTTGATTTAGTCTCCTCAAATTTTCTCGTAACCGTCCCCAAATTAGGCTCCTAATTTTTTTCACTTGACCGTAAATCATTTTCCTAAATATATTTAGTTGTTTCCTAAATTAATGGGTCAATGTGATTTTAGCGGGGATGGAAAGCAATACACCGCAAGCCGCAAGTAGGTTAACAATTATGAAAGGCAAAAACACCGAGTAAAGGAGAGTCATGGGCCAACTGGGATATAGACTGGTAGATTAGGGCTGAAAGAACTCATTTAAGGACTGGATTTATAACCCATTTTAGTTGGGTATTTTTTAATGATTCAAGTGGTAACAATTTTCTAATTTAAGGATTGAATTTATAATCCATTTTGGTTGGCCTTAAACAAGCTACAATTGGGTATTTTTTAAATTTTTAAGTGGTATCAATTTTTTTAATTTAAGAACTGGATTTATACTTCATTTTGATTGGGCCTTAAACATGCTACAATGGGGTATTTTTTTAATTATTTAAGTGGCATCAATTTTCTAATTATCTAAAGATTTATAGCTCACTTTGGTTTTGCCTTAAACAGGTTGTAATTGGGTATTTTGTTAATGATTTAAGTGGTATTAATTTTTTTAATTATCTAAAGATATATATGTTATTGGAGAAATTACATTTGAACTATTGGTGGTTTAGAGTTGATACATTAAAAGATTCAAAATTTTAAAATATACATATAACATATTATGTTATATGATTTGAAGTAGTTATACATAAAAACTTGAGATTTTAAAATATGTAAATAAAAATATAAGATTTATATTAAGTGTACATAACCATCTACAATTACATAAAATTGTCCTAACTCTTATTTTTCTTTTTCTTTTTTTCATTATTTTAATTTAGGAATATTTAAAAAAAATTAATTGATTATTTACACTAAATAAAAATCTCAAATATTTGTATATTTTAAATTTATAAGTATGTAAAACTATAAATATATTATATACATATTTTAAAATATTAAATTTTTTATATATACTTATCTCAAATCATAAATAATTAGATCACAATATCTCCTATATTATTGAATTATTACTAATTAAAAGTGAGCATTCAAACAATATCTTTAAAGTATTTTTATTGAAAAATGATTACTATATCTTTAAAGAGAAGGGTGGGACTGTATTTGGAACGCAGTTATATGATCAGTGTGGATGGCACGAAACAAAAAAATCTTTGACAATGTAGAGGTAAACCTGATCAAACTTTTTGAACTTATTTAATTAAGATCATTTACATGGATTAAAATTAGGAAAGCCAAGTGTTATTTCAATCTATCAAACTGATTAATTAATCCTGTCTCATGCCTAACTAACTGGTTAATTAATCTTGCCTCATGCCTAACTAACTGGTTAATTAGTGTGAAGTAGGAGGGGTTTGAAAGATGATAGTAACACTAATAGTGCTTATTTCTGTAAATTGAGGGGATCGGTTGATGTTCATGTAAAAGGATTTGAGTAGACCTGGCAAACGGACGGGTAGGGTCGGGTTAGGGTCGGGTTAGGGTCGGGTCAACTCGGGTGACGGGTTAGATGGGTTGGGTTATAAACGGGTTGCGGGTTGAAAACATCCAACCCTAACCCGACCCTAACGAGTTACGAGTTAACCCGCGGGTTAACCTTATTTCATTCTTTATAATTATTTTTCATTAATTTTATTATACACAAATAAAATTATATATATCTAAATATAATTAAAAT